TTTTACCATTTATAATGGTCTAGTTCATTTTAAATAGACATATTTTTAGTAAATTAAAAGTGCTTATGATCTATATATATATATATATATATATATATATATAATATGATGATAATATTATTTCATTTAAATATCTATAAAAATAATTAAATACTCTTAGTATACGTGTTTGATTTTATTATACTTATATTATATATTATTTTTATTTTGATAATATTTATATCTTTAAGAGAGAAAAATATTTGTTTTAAGAGTAAATTACACTCTCTCTTTCTCTGGTAGATAAAAATATTATATTATCATTCTTTCTTATATCGAAAATTACAGTTCCTTCTCTTAATATATAGATTCAAATATGTGATACATTACCTTTTTATTTAATTTTTTTTTGTTAAAGATCAATTAACTTCTATTATAAAATTATTATTATCAAAATATCTCTTATACTAACATCTTTTTAGATATGTAAATATTTCAGCGCTCTTCTTTTTAGTATTAAAATAATCATTTTTCCTTCTTAACAAATTTACATATATTACACTTTAATAAATTATCTATTGATTTACATATTTTATTATTATTATAAAATTATTAATTTTGTTAAAATTAGTTATATATTTTTTAAAAATATTTTCATTATTATTTTTATAATATATTTTTAAAATTATATATCAAAATAAAATAATATATATATACAAGTCTAATAAAATCAAGTACATGCATTCAGATATTTAATCAATGTAATTAATATAATATTTTTTAAAATATTTAAATAAAATACATTTTTATTATATAAAATTAATTATAAAAATAAAAAATAAATATTAAGATATTATTTAATTGATATTACTAATAAAGATATTTTAATAATATATAAATAAATTAGTGTTTTGTGCTAGTTATTTATTATTATATATTAATACAATGTTAAAAGTTCAGCTTTTAAGATCGGCTATTGGCATAACCGATATTAAAAGTCCAACTTTTAAGATCGGCTGACGACCGATCTTAAAAAATTCTACTTTTAAGATCATCTCTTTTAAGATTAGTCAAAGAACCGATCTTAAAACTTAAAAATGACCGATCTTAAAAGTATTTTTTTCACTAGTGAATTGTTATTTATTATTATATATTAATACAATGTTAAAATATGTAATTAAATATATGATTTTTTAAATAAACATATTTATATTAAAAATTTATCATTAAATAAATTATAATTATTACAAATATTTATACTTTTACATGTATATTTCACATGTATATATATATATATATATATATATATATATA